ACTAGACTCTTTGGCATCGCGCCACTCTGTGACATTGAAAGACCCCCAGCTAGGATGCCAAGACATCAAATCTCTGGAGGATATCCTCCCGATTTAGAGGCACTCTAAGTTCCAAGGGCAGGGAATCATGAATTGATCGCGAAGGCTCGTCCGCTGGATTTGCCGCGGATGCCACACGGTCAACCCAAGTTGTCAAACCAGTCGCAACCTCGAATGCATCGAACTCACGCAAAATGACTTCCACGATCCTTGAGTGGGTCCGACCAGTCAAGAACGCTTGAAGGGCCGCCTGGTTGTCCAGGAAACCCACCACCTCTGTGAGAGGGCTCAGCTCCTTTTGTCCAAGCAAATGCATGATTCCCAGAAGAAAGGCAAGGGCCTCACACTCGTATATGATGGTCTCTTTCTCAAGTGGGTTCAACACAACTGCATCAAGGTCGCTCAGATTCTTTCCAAACCAAGAGACAATGTTTCCAAAGCCATCAAAAAGGACACCTCCTAATCCTACTTCACCTTGCTCGTAGCTTGCGTCCGTGAAGAGGAAAAACTGTTGTCCAGTTCCAGCTCTGAGCAATCTCGGGGGACCAAGGATCACCCGATCTCTGAGGTAGATGAGGGCCTCTGTCAGTTCTGAATCAACCGTTCCAGATCCGAGCATCTCAGCATGTCTACTCAAGGTCTTAAGACGCTTGCCTGCCGCTCTTCCAAAGAGCTGGTTCTCAGCAAACTGTAACCTGCCTCTCAAGACTCTAAGTTCACCGGGGCGAAATCTGCTTTTGTCAATCAGTTGGTTCATTGACGCTACGAGCTCCTTGATCCGGGACTCAGTGTTCGTCACTCTCACAAGATTGTCAGACGAATCAGTCAGGTCAACCATCACACCAAGCACCCTGGACACAGTATCGAAACCCGCGTCCTTTTCGCCCGAGGTTTCCCATCCGAGCAAGGAGAACAAAGTTTGCAACGCCAAGTCTACATGTCGAGATTCCTGCTCGCTGGTAACCACAAAGTAGTCGTCAAAGTAAACAGACCAATGGATTCCCAGCAAGGAGCACCCGATCTCCCAAATTCCATAAGAGGCCCTGCAAAAACCCATGACAGCAGCTCTTGCCCCGAACGGGAGCACAAGCGATTGATACGCTACTGGCTTGTTCTTGGATGGATCGAATAAGACTATGTACGAGTCATTGAGCGCCGCCTTTGACAATGGCAAGTTCTTGTAGGCTTTCCTGAGATCGATCGTCTTAGAGGTCAGCCTGCTTCCACCACAAATATGCATTCTGCGCAGGATGCCAGCAGCTATGGTGTCAACACTCATGGGACTGATGGTGTGGGACGCCGAATTGGTCAGGTTTACCAAAGATTCTGTCAAGTCATCTATCGGCCTGACTTTCACAATGGGGGGCACCACCTTCTCCAATCGAATTCTGCTTCACACCAAAACGTCTACTGACCACTGCAGTCTTTGGAAGAGACTGTACCTCCACCGGACCTCGGAGCCAGCCCCTCTTCACTTCCTCCTCCGTGATGTTCACAAGTTCCAACTCTGTCTCTGGATCACGGTGTTTAGCCACAGATGCCAAGGTGCACTCTCTCGCGACCGCTGCATTCGACCTGACCTGGTCTTCGGTCAAGGTGGCAAAGGAAGTTTTCAAAGGGAAACAAGGATTTGTCTTTATCGGCCCCATCAAGTCAAAACCTTCGGAGATATCTTGCGCCAATGAGACGTCAGAAGACCCAGCCTCTTCAAGCATTTCCTCAAAGAGTTTGATTCGTTTGTTTTGCAAAATTTCTCGGACATGTTCGGACATCTCGGCCTTTGCAGAGGTTTCCAGGTCAGACAATTCAGTTGCCCTCAAGATCCAGCGACGCATCTGCTGAGTTCTGTCACGAGCAATATCCGCCTCACCCTTTTCCTGCATGCGATCCAAGACTCTGGCAAGTTGTCTTGGAATGGACCTGAGGAAATGTTTGGGATGTCCTGTCGAGATGGCTTGTTGCAAAAATTCACTTGGGCTCCAAGGGATTCCTATCGTTATGTGGTCATTAAGATTATCCTCGATTTGTCCTGGCTCCAGTTCACTTGTACTTGTGCTCGCGGCCATCTTATCCCCAGAAAACAGAGCACGCAAAACACGAGTGCCAGAGGGCAGGGCCGGCAAGTGGGGAGAGATATGCACTTCTGGTGGGACCTGCCAAGTGGTGGTGAGCTTTCCGGCCAAAGATCGTAAACACGAAACAGAGGGGGCTCGCAAGCGATGTACACTCTTGTATTCAGGCACAAGTTGAGAGAGCTTATGCCCCGTAGGTTGACGGCCTGTGGCCGCTGCGGCAGCACGCATTGGGGGTACAACATCCACAGCTTGCAACAAGGAGGATGGTGTCGGAGTGATTCCACATTTGCACAGGATTTGCGCGAAGACCTGCGCCATGGCTGAACACAACGGTGTTGGGTATTCAACTTCAAGATGGGTGCTCCATTGACCGGAAGGATGGAGTCCCCATGGTTCATGTTCATGAGTGCCATCACAGGCTCTCTCTAACACACAAAAAGCGGTGTGATTGGCTGTCAATCTAGTGGCTTTACGTCGATGCGAACCATACATGCAATGGTGAAAGGTCACATGATGCAGGCGATCATCATTCATGCGAATATGATGGTTCAAAAACGAAGTAGCCCAAGCATGGGACCGTGCAGGGTTCTCTATCGTGCAGACTATGCCGGTCTGGCAGGCAAAGGCCATGACTTGACTTGTCAGAAGATAAAGTTGGTTTGCAGCTTGCAGCTTGGACTGGGCGAGCCCGCGGAGCCATGGGAAGCCGTCCGGGTAGCGTTCACTTCTGAGAGGCTTAGGGCTCGGACCTTTCTTCCTACGAATTTCCCTTGCACGGCTGGCTGTGCCGCAAGGGGGCGCTAGGTGTATGCCGCACACAGTGTCTTGCTTCAAGATACGCCAAAGGAGCTCACGGCCCGCGGGCGATACGAGGTCCAAACGAATCACAGGTGCCTTAAGGCGCTTTGAAACAGCATGATCAATGCCAAGTGCGTTCGGCCCAAGTCTGCGCACCATGGCAGACAGGCCGGCTGTACCTGAGAAAATCTCAACAAAATGCAAGTTCTGACAAGGTGCAGAAGCCAAACGATTTGCGACCTGTTGTTCAAAATTTGTCAAAATGGGGGCTGATTCAGCTCCCGTGACATTTGGGATAAACTGAGGAGTTGACTGGGGAAAATTGCTAATGGTTGAATTTGCAAAAGGACAACCGAAGAAGATTGCTGCGGACAATTTGGCATGTCTGGCTCGCGATCAGCAGGCGGCAAAACTTCACGAGCGTGTGGCCAGGCTAGTCACTCATCTTTGCACTTGGTCAACGAGTGATCTTTCAAACATTTCATGCACTTATGAACGCCCCGTGCACAGCGGCCACCAGCCGCGGCAAATTGGCAGCCCTTCGATAAGTTGAAGTTCCAACAAATGCGTGAACCATCTTCAAGGTTGGATTTCAAACCGGGCTGCGTCAACGCCGAAGGCATAGCAGGGGACTTTCCCTTGGACTTGCCTTTGCCCTTTCCTTTGCCTCTCTTACGGGGCTCGAAGTCCGAATCAACCTGTTTGCGTTTCTTGTCGTCAGACTTTCGGTCATCAGGGGAGCTTTTGCCTGGCATGGGTAACATATGAAAAGTCACTGTATGGTCTGAACGAAGGGTATCAATGGCCGCATCGAGAGGCTTGGTACCATCAGGTTGGATCTTGAGGGTGTCCACTGTCTCGGCCATCCTGAGCCATGCCATCTTATCAGTGCGAACGATTTGCTCAAGAGTTGGGGCCCGAAAGTGTGGCGGTGGAGGCAGCTGCATTTGGTCAAACAAGTACCGATGCCACCTTTCCATGACTTTGAAGCTACAAACACCCATCAAGTCACAAGCCAATGAACGTCTGGTGAGGGCCTGACTCAATTGAAGCTCGTTGACAATATTGCAACGGTCCTTGCGCTCCTTGTCTTTGACTTGGAGGGTTGATGATTCAACAACAAGGGTCTTTGGAGGCTTGTCCCGAGCAATTTCTGAGGCGCGTGTCGTGAAGCGGTGTGGTTCCAGGTACATAGGCACATCGGCTACCAACATCTTTGCAACATAGTCGTATGCCTGGTAAGAGACCTCCAATTGACCCACAAGGTCCATCCCAGCAAGGCGCATGCGCTGGTCTTTAATGCGCTGTGTGCGCTCAGCGGGTACAAGCTCTGCAGTTTGAGTCTGGTCCGAACCTTCCACGGCGTGCTTGATCTGGGCCACTGAGAGGGTTTGGGCATCAAACATAAGCCTCCGAATGGAGGACAGTTGACCCATGTTGACTCTGTCCGGGGCCGTCGAGTTCAACAAAGTCCTCAAAGAAGTCTCATCGGGACTGACTCCCGGTGTCGTGATGGCAAAGGCTAGCTTAGACAGAGTGTCCAAACCGCTGTGAATTAAATGGTCCAAATCGGCATCTGATAGTCCGCTTTCTTGGCCTCTCACCCTAAAGGCCGCTTTGCTTTCCAGAACACTGGCCATGGCTTATCTAAGAGAAGCGACCAATTCAGGAGTGCATGCAGAGGCCGCTCTACGAGCATACACGTTGCGATTTTGTCGAGTACTACAGTTTCAGCTGAATGTGGTTAAAATGCAATGCAAACTCCAAACATGAATCGACAAGGATGGCATATTCTAGCTTGATCAATCTGTAAAATTGAATTTTGACAAGACATACTCGAAGACAAAGAAAAGAAAACGTTCAATGCTCTATTCGAAATGTGCAAGTAAAGCTTTTTATCGTGTGCACAAGCGCTTCAGCGCATCCTCACAAGCCTGCCCGGCTGCGACCATGTTGGCAGTACGGATGTTATTGCCCTTGTCGCATTGGATGCACTTCCAGGATTCCGCCATGATGGGCTTTGAGAACAAAGCGTACTCACTGGTTTTTGCTCGCCCACAAACAAAGGATTGCGTAGAGCAACTGCCTAGAAGGTGTAACTTCTTGGTGCGGGAGTGCTGGTAAATGTCACAGTCTTGCTTCCAAATAGGTGGTCGTCTCGGATGCTGAACCATGGCGTCGATCAGTGTATCATCGGATGCCTGGCTGCTTGTTTCCTCCGAGGACGAGCTGGAAGTTGACTGATGATCTGGATTAGTGTCAGCTTTATCCGACATTTTGTCGCATCTCTCAGGTGACTGGTGGCCACTGATGGATGCATTCTCAATCATCATGCCACTACGTGTCGCATCCGGAAGAAACACACCCTTGCGAATGTCCGACAAACACCTCTCCAGGACACGTAAGGGAGCGGCTTGCTGATCTCTGGAGTACACAAAGACCGATTTTCCTTTGCTAGAATGGTGGCCCAAAATTGCACGTGTAGGCTCATCGGCTCCCCACTTTGCTAGATGGCTTAGTGTTGTGGCCTTACATGAACGTCCAGTGACCTTGTCAAGGTTTGCAAAGCCTCCTCCCTCGAGGACTGCGCGAAGCCAACTGCCAAGCTCTTCTGAAGTCGTGGCCCTCTGTGTCCAACGTCCCAATCTGTCAGGAGCCGGTAGCAATGGATTGCCTTGCCTCCAACCATCAAGGTCTAAGCCCACCTCATGAGCGATGGTGACAAATGATTGGACCCACACTTGCTCAGTGACACCTCGAAGGGGGGCGATGAGTGGAAGTGGCAGCCCTAAGCGATTTCCAACTCTTCGCATCTTGTGGGAAGTCGAGTGTGCTTCTAGATATCCATAGGTGAAATCATCATTGGTGTCCAGCGCAAGTTTTTCGATGGATCTCAAATCACCTATTCGAGCCCTGGCATACACTGCGAACAAGCACACCCCAATCCCGTACCTGTCAATCATGGATTTCTTCGGGTCGTCGATGAACCTCTCAAGGAAAGCAAGTTCCGTGCATTGGAGTGGACGCGCTTGCCTGCGTGGAGGTCTGAGTTCGCCCAGAGATCTGACCACCCCACGGACGAATGGCTGTTCATCCGCCCCCTCTTCAACATAGACACCTAGCACGTGTCTTAGAAACCTTGTCAACTCCAAGAAGCCAACCACAGCTGAGTAACCCGCAGCGTCACGAAGGTACTGAACATATGCCCTGACAAGTTTGGAGCTGATAGGGATCAAAGGCTCCGACACACCATCTTTCCCCCATCGAAAATATCGTTGGACTTGTCCGAGACGCTTACGAAGAGTGCTTAGAGATTTTCCTCCTAAGCAAGAGGCAACGTACTCTACTCGTTCTGTCTGGGGCATTGACGAGATTTGTCTTCCCGTCATGGACCCGTCAAGATTGTGCGCAAGCACCAACTCCCACCTCTGAAAGATCAAGGCAAATTGTTCACCTTCTTGCAAATGCTTCGAACGACCACTTTCGAACTTAACAGCGGCCTCAAAAGCGTTCTGAAAACTGGACAAGGGCTTTGGTTCCCCAGGGATTGTGCTAACGATGCCAGACTCACAGGAGCAAAACTGAGTATTGGGGGGGAGAGGAAATTCTGTGAGCCACAGCCAGGATCCTTCTCTTATTTCCCCGCTCTCCGCAATGAAGGACTGAGGGTCCAGGGTGGCTGGATTTTGCCGGCTATTACAAGATCCCATGTGAATGATGTCCTAAAGTTGGTTGTTTGCAGGAACGTGAGAAGGAGAATTTGCACAAGGTTGGAGCCACTATTGGAACCCATTTCCTTCACTCTCCATTTCACCCTGATGTCTATATTTCCGCAGGCTGAAGAGATCAATTTCATAGCGACCCAGAAGCTCTTGGAGGCCAACTTTTTTCGATCGCCTCAGGGTTGCACACCCGCATCATGGTGAAGTTCTGGCAACTAGCGCTGCTCCTTTCTTGACAGGCTGACAAAATCCTGAAGCGGGCGAACAACCCTGTGCACAAGCTCATGGACTTATCCTCTAGGATGTTAGATGGGGTTGTCAAGATTTGTGCTATCAACTCTGGACCCCCCGTGCTTGATGCGCTTAGTGACAACAATTAGGGGGAACATGCATTTTTCTAATTCACAAAACACAGAGTGTCTCAGGAATTGGTTGACACTGTGTGACAGAAGTTTGTCAAAAAAGGATCTGCAGCGTTCTTTGGCCCTGTCTTTCACAGGTGTCACAGGTCTCATCGCGTCGTGATGTCAGCTTTTTCTACTTGGATGTGTTTGGAGTTTGGAAATCATCGAAGCCTTTTTCACTTAAACGACTGATGTCTCGGGGGCTGCGTCCAAAATATGAAGAACCTTGTATTGATTGGGAACTTTGTGACAACATGCAATAACAAGAAATGTAAGACAAGTGGGCGGGGGAAGTTCACACATTACATACGCACATCCTCGCCGAGGAGACCTTCGCCTTCTCTCAGTCTCCGCGACGCTGTCCGAGCGATTGCTCGGGAGTCACCTGCAAGGAGGACATTGAAGGGCATTTGTCTTAAATACTCAAACACACAGTAAGTCTACTCCATTGCTCCAGAGGACAGTTCAAAAGCCTTGCCCAAGTTGAGGTGGCGCAGGGCCGTGCATCCTTCAAAAGCCCTGGGCCGAAATTGCGCTTGGGGGGCCAGCAGATTATCAGAATGCCAAGTGTTCCCAATTTGGGTGAGCGAGCTACATTGTTCGAAGACCTTGATACCAAAGTGCCGGCATCCAGGGGCCGTCACTTCACGCAGCATATACCACTTGCGGAATGCCCCGTGCCGCAGGCTGACAACTGTGTCCGGCAGGTGGACAATTTGCAGTCGGTGGCAGCTCCTCCAAGCAGCCTCCCCTACAATCCGAAAACCCTCTTCGACCAGGGCGTGGCGGACCTCTGTGTGATAGGAGAAGGCTTGAGGGGGGACTCTGTTTTGCTTGACGAAGGGCACTCGTATGGCTTTCTCTTCACCTATGAGGGATCCCTTGTACATCGCTTCAACAAAACACGGCCGGGCAATGACGTACAAACACTGCTTGGCACTCAGCTGTTGTTGAACAGGGTCTGTTAAGACAGTCTGGGTGCCTATTTGCACGAATTGCAGTTCGCACCCGAAGGTGCTGCTCCTCCCTAGCATCGGAAGCTGTTCTAGAATGGCATTCTCGAATTCCTGAAAACTGGTACGCGCACTTTGATCAACGTACACATGTAGCTCCTCACCTGTCAGGGTGATGAGAGTGAAGGGCAGGGACATCGATCTGTCCTGTTTGCCGCAAAGGCTGAGACTGGGCACACCCTTTGCCATTTGCCTTTCTTACGTGTAGCTGGCTCGAGCCGAATGACTGCTAGGACAGGAGCACATGGTGCCTTGAACCTTCCTGACTAGGCCGTGGCGATGGGGCGCCCCCCTCTGCTCTTGTGGATAGACCTTAGTGGAATGGGGGCATGTTAAGGTAAGAGTCCTCCTGTCCTGGGCTGGAGCTAAGGCTCACACCCAGGCACCCTATGGTTCCCAAAAGTTAACTCAGGCCCGACCGGAAGTATAGCCCGTGTCTGGGATCATGTGCAGCCAGGGCGGCCACCGCAGTCCTGTACAAATGGCAAGGGCGTTTTCTTCCGCATAGATTCCTCTCCATTTGTGCCGGCCAGGTAGCTTAACTATTCTTTGGAGCGCAGTGCAATCCAAAAAGGCTCTGCTTGCGATGTACCTGAGCGACGGCGGGA